CGCTTTCGGAGCACCATGATGTTTTTACAGGAAACCAAGAGGGTTATACCGAGGAATATTCAGCCTGCCATAGAAGAATTGACCCGTCGAGAAATGATCTAACAGGTTATGAAACCAAATTAGAATAAGCGTTTGTTTCCGCGATTAAATCTAGAAAAATAAACATGCGTTTTCATTTAAAATCATTAGAAATCCCGAATAGCACACTTATCATAAACCGGTTGAGATAACTTCTATGTGACTCATTTCAGTCACAAGCACCGTTTGCACACTGTGGACCAAAAATTTCAAATTTTGCATCAGTCTAGTGTCTATAACCACCGAAATCGATGCTATAAGACACGTTAATTAAAAGTAGTGTTCAAAATCTTAATTTCATATGCTGCAGGTACATATACGTTGATGGACTAACTATACAAGTTTGTTTTTAATGCAGTTTTCAATCAAACAAATGTTATGCTTGCAGTACAATTCACTCTTTTTCATATTCAGCCAAATTTGGGTCATAATATCCAGGGATCACGCAAGAAGGGACCGATCATGTTCAATTATGTACTTCAGGAAACAACTATCAGCCGTGTCAACCACGTAAAAGACCTGGGAGTTATACTGGATTCCCAGTTAACGTATAAGCAACACATCTCGTTCATTGTCGACAAGGCGTCAAGATCTTTAGGATTCATTTTCAGGATTGCAAAGAATTTTTCCGATATATATTGTCTCAAATCGCTATACTGTTCCCTGGTGCGGTCCACCCTGGAATATTGCTCACCCTGGAACCCAAGCTATAACAATGGTGCTGAAAGAGTTGAGTCCGTTCAGCGTCGATTTCTTCGATTTGCTCTGCCCAAGTAATAATTTTGGTTTTATGAAGGTTCTGTAGACCATGATTTGAACTTGTAGAATGCTATAAAACCTCTATAAAACTGTAAATGTTACTTGGGTGAGGAAGCTGCCTTGGAGAAACCCTTTTCGTCTACCCAGTTATGAAAGTCGATGTCAACTGATTGATCTGGAGCTTCTACGTACTCGGAGAGACACTTGGCGGGCCCTTCTCATTGCGGATAGTTTACAGGTTAGAATTGATTGCTCTACAATCCTGGAGAAGATCAACGTGAACGTCCAACCCCGAGCGCTGCGAAATAACGCTGTATAAAGATTGCCTCAGCATCGCACTAACTATAGCATGAACGGTGCTATAGACGGCCTTCAACGTGTGTTCAATCGAGTTTCTTCAGTGTTCGATTTCAACCTGACACGAGAGATGCAACGCCGGCGCTTTTCCCGTATTTTCTCTGACGCAGTAAACCATATAATGACCATGTATTTTATTGTATTGTGTATTTTAGTAAGCTGGACTATGTATTTTAATGTTATTCACTTAAACATCATTGGGTCTACACTCAGCCTGTTAATGTAAACTAATAAAGTAATAATAAATAGAAGTATAATTAGCTTAAATGATATACCATAATGGAACATTATTAACAAATGCTCCTTTATTGTTTGCATTATAATAATGCTGCAGAGAACATAAATTGTCCTACTTTAGAAGTGATTGATTGATCATCTTCAATGAACTTTCGTTTATTTTTCGTAACAGGCCACGATCTTTTCCACAACCTGTAAGGACAGAAAGGAATTCGACTTCGTACGTTCATAATAAAAGCGAGGACTGTTCCAATAATTTGCAATGCATTTTTAAATAAACTAAATGTTACTCTTGTAGTTAGATGCACTCTCTATCATATTTACTTAAACGTGGCTCATTATATTTAGTTTAAAATTTTGATACACCGGCGTAGAATTGCGTGGATTGTGTCAAAAGGGGTTTGTATGATGGGTGCTCGGCTTTGGATTATATAACAAGTTTTGACCGAAATTTTGTATGAGTTGCATTAAGCCTAGTAATGACCGTTTTGCTTAGTGAACAGAAGCTCATGGATTTAATGTTATTAAATGAGAGCTTTCTATGCCAATCAATGCATGAAATTGAATATTGTGTAGAAGCACAATGATACTTTAGACTCTCTGAGACCCCGCAGGGTACCTTCTATAATAAAGTATATAAATGGAAAAAAATATTATCAAATGCATACTTGACGCCTTTCAATTGGACGACTTTATGTTACCGGGATTAAACGATCATTATTACTGAGCATTACTGAGTTGATAGGATCGTTCTATTTACTTATCGCGCTTTAAAACATCGCATAACTTTACAAAGAAAATTCAAATTTAGCTCACCCTTCTCACTAACGAAATCGTTTTTCCAGTGAAAGCCGTGGAGATGCAAGGATATACTCGGTATCTAGTGGCAACGAATGTCGAACTAACAATCATTTCACTCCCCGTCGCCGTAGGAACCTGACCGGTGCCAATATTGAGCTTGATAGTAATCATTTATAGGAGTTGGCACACTGAAAATCATCTCAGATTTTATATTGCAATTTTTTAAAAGATATGTTGATCTTTTCCACAGGCGAAAAAATAGTGTCTATTGCACCTTTAAGATAGTAATTGCAAATTTTCAATAATTTCTAGAATAATGGAAAATTGAGTGCAAAATGTGTATTATTTATACAACATATTCCATCGATTTATGGCTGATTTATGTATCGTTCACTCTAATTCACCTTAAATTTATACTGCTAATTCACCTAATTCGATAGATAGCTAATTGTTCATTGCTAGGTGCAAAAACAACACTTTAGTTTTTCCTTCCATCATTTCTGTTCAGCGAAATTACTGACTCATAAATAGGCTCGCATCAATCTATCTCTCCCTCTCTCTCAAACATGCTCAATACCTACAAAGGTACTATTTTCGCACTGTTTTCTTTCTGTCGACTGAGTACAAAGATTGAATACTATAATTACCTATTTTTGCGCCAATCGTCGGCATTTTGGCTAATTTCGGAAACCACCGGACCATGTTTAGCTTCCTAATGTTTTGCGTTCATCAATTTCCGAAGCTGAGCTAGGCCGGGATACACCCCGCGTTTGCATTTGACTCCCGTCTGCTAGACGCGGCCATTCGCGGTGTGTGAGAAACAAGCGTGAAACGGCAGCACTTTGGCCAATTGGAGCAACTGCCAGCAATTGACCTTTGACGCGCCTTCGAGGGAAATGATTGATGAAACGTGATTTACAGATACGGACATGGCTAGAAGAGGAACGGATGGACTTTTACTTTTTGCCATCAGCAGTATACCTACAATCGTCCGTTTCGTCTAGTGGATGGCAAGCGAACCAGCATAACAACGGTAACTATATAGTCGTGCGGATTGTTGCTGTGCTGCTGGGAGGCGTTTGATGGGTGTTGGTGATTTGGCTAGACTAAGCTCCTGGGTCAGCAGTACGATCGCTTTTCAGATTCTTATTTTTGCCATCTTGCTTCCGTTGTTGTTGTTATTGTCAGTAGGTATGTGTATGCTCAGGCTCAATTTGAAGGAGCACTGACCACGGCAAGCAGTGATGGGCAGTGCGCGATGAAAACGAAAGTGAAGTCCGAGCAGTCAGGCGTAGTGTTTTGATACAGATACCGATACAGACGCTAGAGCCTTGTTTTAATTATATACTTTCCAAATCTCTAACTAGTCATGGACCGAGCTGATGAATGGATTTCTATGGTTGTTGGAGCCTAGCCACTCTCCGGTGTCGATGCTGACGATGATGCTGGTCGGATAATTGAATTTAGTGAAATTTCGATTTCGTTTCAGTCTAGCGTGAATTATAGTTTTTGTCGTGTTTGCTCGAGCCGAGTCATTTCCTGTTTGAAGCACGGAAGCAGAGATGGAAATGGACATTTTAAAGGTATTATGGCACATGTCTAGCAACTGTGCAAGACAATGTTGCTTTCGCATTCATTTGAGATGAACAGATTTTGACTATTAGAGCATCGGTTATTAGCGTTAAGGGGGTATTCCCAATCTTTTGCCTTTTTTCGGCCTGTTTTTCAATTAATTTTTTTTCAAGGAAAATGAATAGTAATGCGCCTAACTCTTTGGGATTCTTGTTTATTGAACATTAAAGTTTACAAATAAATTTTTTTCGACATAAAAAAAGACATTATTGACGTCACAAAATGGCGGCAAACAGACCCCTGTTCGCCGCAAACGCCTGGACGGGCGAAGACTTTTCTCTGGAACGGCTTCATCTGAAACAGATTTCGTGATGAAATTAATAATCTGATAAGATTCTCTGGAGCTTCTCCCGTTGGCAGCAAAAAATCTTGCAAATTAACAAAATGGCGGCCATATGAAAAAACAGGCGATTTTTAGCCCGCTTTTTTGCAGCTTTAAGGTGCTTCAAACAATGTTAAATGTTAATATTTTTGGCTGAAAGTGGTAGAAGCTCCAAAGAATTTAATAAGGAACAAAATGCGCAAAGATTCAAGTCAATATCTCTTATAGTTTCTGAGAAAAATCTTCGCCCGATAAAAAAAATGTGGTTTCGAGAAAAACGCGTTTAAAGTTTTGACTTTAGGCAAAACCATTTGGGGGTTCTTACCATTAGTCAGCTATGCCTGGACACCGAATTCGCTGATCGGAAAACGGCTTGGGGGGATGAAAGTATATAGTCTAAAGTACAGAAAAACGTGAAAAAAAAAAATTTGATTTTTTGAAAAAAAAAGATCGGGAATACCCCCTTAAGTAAGTGAAATTTGCAAGTTAGTGGGTTGTGAACATACGGTATTGTAAAAACTAGGCAACCGTTACTAAATTGATTGGGTTTTGGAATGCGTTGATATTTCGGTTCAATTAGAGTAATTATAATAAGAGTCACGTTCACATTGCTCATTATTATTCAGCACCATTGAGTGTTCATAAATTTGATAAACAATGGAAAATAATTACCTTTGAGATAGCGCCAATTACTGTGGTTAAAGGAAAACCAACAACTTGCATGCTTTCCCTAATGCACTTTTTGACAGTTATCGCATACCATTACAAGCAAATATTGCCACCATTGCACAAAAGATATATCGATAATACTTACATTTCTCTAAACTGATTGGACCCATGATGACTGCATCTGGAAATAAAAATATAAAAAAACATAAATAAGCATATGGTGTATTTAAAAAATCTAGCAACGGATAAACATCGCAGAAATGATTTTGACTTAAAATTAATTCTGTAAATACAAAAATAAATAAACAAACGGATATTAACCTTCAAACCTTCAAATGTAACCCTCTACTGCCCAAATTTTGTTTTGTTCGTTTCTGCATGCTTCGGTGTAGTAAAAAAATTGGCAATCTTTAGTGTCCAAGGTTTTCAAATATCTAAAAATTTAAATTTTTCATAAGCATTAAATAACAAAAATATTGATGAAAGAAATTTTTTGTCATTTACTTTATTTTTTTTTTAATTTCTAAAAACTTATCATTATAGGACTGCGTCTTTATGGACTATACTGGGGTGCAAATCAAAAAATTGTGTAACTTGGCCCTGAATTGATGGATTTAAATTCTTTTCACACTCTTTGATTCAGAATTGATGTAAGAGTTATTTGGTAGAAGATGGCTAGAGGGACATTCGTTCCGCTATAGGTAGTACTGCTGCAGCGGCACTAGGTACTGCAATCCCGGACCGAAGAAATGACTGGTTTGACAGCGAATGCAAACTGTTAGTAGTGGAGAAGAATGCAGCACGGGCGAGAATGCTGCAACACAGCAAGTTCTATGACGAGCACTTAACCGGTGAAGCAGCAGAAAACTTCTTGGAGCACGCGCAGAAGACGACAGGCTATCGGCCCCTGATCTTCAAGAAGTTGAGGAAGAGATCGGTTGGATGAAGAACAACAAAGCAACTGGTGTAGATCAACTACCAAGTGATAGCTATTAAAATACGGTGGTGAAGCACTGGCTAGAGCGCTGCACTGGGTAATTGCCAAGATTTGGGAAGAGGAGATATTACCGAAGGAGTGGATGGAAGGTGTGGTATGCCCAATCTTCAAAAAGGGCGACAAGTTGGATTGCTGCAACTACCACGCGATCACACTGCTGAGCGCCGCCTACAAAGTACTCTCCCAAATTCTATGCCGCCGCCTGTCACCATTTGCAAGAGAGTTTTTTGGGCAATACCACGCGGGATTCAGGGGTGCCCGCGCTACCACGGACCAAATTTTCGCGATTCGGCAAGTTCTGCAGAAATGCCGCGAATTCAACGTGCCCACACATCATTTATTCATCGATTTCAAATCCGCATACGACACAATCGATCGTGATCAGCTATGGATAAACTGACACGATTGGTCAAGGCTACGTGGATCGAGTGATGTGCGTTGTTCGAGTATCGGGGACACTCTCGAGTCCCTTTGAATCTTGAAGGCGGTTACGGCAAGGTGATGGACTTTCGTGTCTACTATTCAACATCGCGTTAGAAGGTGTGATAAGAAGAACTGGGATAGACACCAGTGGCACGATCTTCAGGAAGTCCATCCAGCTTCTTGGCTTCGCTGATGACATTAACATCATGGCACGGAACTTTGAGACGATGGCCGAAACGTACATCAGACTGAAGGCTGAAGCTAGGCGGATTGGACTTCTCATCAACGCATCAAAGACAAAATACATGAAAGAAAGAGGTTCTAGGGAAGACAATGTTAGCCTCCCACCCCGAGTTCAGATTGACGGTGACGAAATCGAGGTGGTCGATGAGTTCGTGTATTTGGGCTCACTGGTGACCGCCGAAAATGATACCAGCAGAGAAATTCAAAGACGCATTATGGCAGGGAATCGTGCCTACTTTAGACTCCGGAGGACGCTCCGGTCGAATAAAATTCGCCGCCGCACGAAGTTGGCTGTCTACAAGACGCTGATTAGACCGGTGGTCCTCTACGGCCACGAGACCTGGACTATGCTCGTGGAGGACCAACGCGCCCTTGGTGTTTTCTAACGGAAAGTGTTGCGTACCATCTACGGTGAAGTGCAGATGGATGACGGAACGTGGAGGAGGCGAATGAACCACGAATTACACCAGCTGCTGGGAGAACCATCCATCGTCCACATTGCAAAAATTGGGCGACTACGGTGGGCTGGGCACGTCGTAAGAATGCCGCATGACGACCCAGGGAAAATGGTTCTAGAAAGCAACCCAACAAGAACAAGAAGAAGAGGCGCGCAGCGGGCAAGGTGGATCGACCAAGTAGAAGGAGACCTGCGGACCCTTCGCAGACTACGAGGCTGGCGAAGAGACGACTTCTTCGGACAGCAGAGGACAACAAGGCCTTAGCCTGATTGGTAAGGTAAGGTAAGGTATCAAAGCACCAACATTCACATTTTCAATTCAAACGTGACATCTGCACTCTTGTACACCAGTGAGTAGACTGGCCCACAGAAATAAAAGTTCTAATTTTCCTTTTCATGAATCTAGTCAGTTTTATTGAGATATTCGCTTTTAAATGTATGTGAGCATTTTGTTTATGAAAATTTCAACTGAATCTTCCATATTAACATTAATCCAAAAGAGCCAACCAGTGTTACGTCAAAAAGAGCTGACACATTCAGAGAGTGGTTATCGCACCAAAAGACATTAGCCTGGATGTTGGCCTGTGGAAAATATTAACTTCTTTTTAGTGGTAATCTAGTTGATACATTACATAAGCTGCCTGTAATTTGTTGGAATATACGAGCAAAATGCATATTACAAACTTGAATCATGATGCTGTCTAGAGCAAAGTTATTTCTTATAGCTTAAGCTACATGTGCTGAAATTCTGAGCCTAATTGAGTTTGCTGAACTGAAGGAATATTATTTCACCATACATTTCAACCAACATCCCAACGAACAATTTTAGCTGCAGACTAGCTTATACAGTCAAAGAGTACCTTATGCAGCTAGTTTTTGCCTGTATAAGCTGAGCTGTGATTTTCTAACCTAATGGCACAAATCTAGAGGTTGACCCATTGAAAAAAAATGATAAAAAATTCCCCCATATAAATGTGGGCCAGTCTAACCAGTGAGACATGCTGCGTAACAGTGGAGAACACTAAAAAACTGTAGATTTTCATCAATTGTTTCCTGGTGGCCTCACAACAGGATCTAGAATGCTGAGCTCCATCGTCGTTGTCATGAGAAGCCGATAGCAACTAAAATTTGCGAGCGGAAGTGGAGGTAGGTCAGCCACATACTACAATGGGGTGGGAACGAAATCTGTAAGCAAACGCTGAATTGAAACTGAGTAGGACAGCTCAGCAGATCAGATCCAAGGGTGCATGCTTGCCTCAACAAGGAAATCAACCCGAGTAGCACACTTCTGTTAAGAAAAGTTGCAGCAACTTGTTAATGACTGAAATAAGTCGTAAAGAAGTTTCTACAACCGAAATGTGACAAGCGTGCTACTAGGGAAACAAGTGGATAGGAAATTGATTATGATGATCTTGTTCATAAATGTATGTGTCGCATGACAGTTTTAGCTCATGTCATTTCATTCAAAATGTCCCTGCTCTTTGGTTCAGTAAGGGTTCTGCCAGGTTGGTCGAGGCTGATTTCATTTGTGAGTAAGAGATGACACTGGACATTGTTATGTGCAATTCACTTTAAAAAGTGCGCTTCAAATTTTATCACATGTAGTTTCAAAAATCCTTAATGAAATGTGGCGCTTTCGAAGATCACTTGAAGATCAATATAACGGAACATTGATACTAAGAGTATAAAACACCAGAAATTAGTTAGGATAACACATTAAAAATGTGTTAATTTTTAGTCAACAAATTTAATGTTGCATTGAAATACTTTAAATAGTGTTAAATTTAAATGTACCGTAAAACGGGGTAACATTGATAGTTTTTTGAAGTATATTCTAAACACATATTTTTAACAGCAATTACTGTTCTTCAAATTTTATATTTTTAAAACAAGTACTGAGGATCCAAGAGTAAATTTGTTAGTAATATGTTGAACGAAAATAAAAGCATTTGCACTATTTTTTTAGTTTTCCGACCGAACTTCAGTATTTTGATTTGGGGTTACTTTGATAATGCTCGATGAATGTAGAAAAAAATGCGTGAAACTCAAACAATTTAGTTCTTTAAATATGAAACTTTGAATGAGTATATAATCACGAAACTTCATAAGCAATAAGAATAAAACATTAAATTTGTGATGACTGTATCGGAAATATATTTCATAAGTGATGGTTTGAGTGCTTTTTCAAAAAGGCGAAAACACGAAAATGGTTTATTAATATTTTTGTAAAAAATGTAACACATACTATTTAAATACTATATACCATATCAATGGAAATACCCTAAGCTACAATATGGAACCAATGTTTTATTTGGAAAAAGCACAGTGAGTAATGTTATTCTTTACATGATATTATCAAAGATACCCCGTTTTACGGTACCTACATTCGTTGAACCATTCTGAACGGCCATCCCGTTGTGGTTATATCACAGAATTGCTAATAATGTATATACGCACTTAGAAAAAATCATAAAAATTTAGATAATGGCCATTTACCCTAGTAACTAAAATCAATTGCTGAACGATTGCAAGAAGTTTCATTCAAATCCGTTGAAAACTGACGAAATAGTAGCAATTTTTACTTTAGGTTGATGCTACCGATTCCAGGGAGGCAGCTCTCACACCTGGAACCTACCTTTCGACCCATCAACTCATGAACCAGGGACCAACGGCTTTAATTCCCTCCCCTCCCCCGAAGAAAGGCGTGGTCAGAAATTGTATGCCTCAGAAAATCTAGGCGATGCCGACTGGAGTTGAACCCAAGCCCTTTGGGTGAGAGGCAATCGAGCTTACCACTACACTACCGACGCCAATAATATTTCAAAATGTCCTTGTTCAATAGTTTTAATTTTTTTATTAAGATGCTTGTAAATTGCAAATTTTTGAATGTTTACAACGCTGGACAATTTTTTTTTTTTTTTTTTTTTATTATTAGGGTCACTTTAACACTCTTGGGACATTCGTGACTTGTCCGGGGGTGAGATTTGAACTCGTGACTTTGGCGTGAGAGGTATGGATGTTAACCACTACGCCGCGGTCGACGATGACAGGAGCACATATC